CAGGCGTGGCGGCGGGTGCCAGGGCGGCCGGCGTGGCAGTGGAGGGCGGCAGTCGGCCGTCTGCTGGGTTGGTCCGGCGGGGGGGGCGGCGTTGAGCACGTGGGCAGCCCCGGCCTCCTTGACACTTTCATGGAGGCTTTTCGGAGGGCCGGCGGGCGCTCCGCCCCCCCCCGGGGGGGTGGATATGCAGTGGGATGCTCCCGACCGGCCTTGGCCCACGCACGCGCCATGCCGGCCGCCAACCAGCCGGGTGCAGGGGGACAGGGCGGCCCGGGCGGGTGGTTTGGCAGAGGGGGGTGAAGGGCGGTGGGGTGGGGAGGGGGTGGGGTACCGGGACGAGGTGGATGGCAGGGGGGAGTGGTGTGGTCCGCCAGGGGAGTGCGAGCACGAGCGGCGGCGCGGCGGATGGTAGAGGTTGTGGGGCTGCGCGGAGGGGTGGGGTCGGTGGGTGTTGACTCCCCACTTGGGAGCGGACGTCGTGTTGCAAATTTTTTGTAACCACTTTTTTGAGATTGTGTTGTATATCACTGAACGTGTGTTGTAAATGCGCGCTCCCTCTCCTGTTTGTTTTGTACTCAAATACATCAATATTTCGCACAAACACGTCCATTTTCAGTCGTCCAGTCCTGCGCACAACCGTTTCGCCAAAATAATCACATAACAACAACATTGCGCACAAATGCTCCTATTTGGACCTTACCGACATTTTGCACGAAAGCTTGTTAAATATGAAATTTATGACAAGCTGGCGACCCGGGAGCCTCAAAAGGTGGCTAAGAATTGGCGAAAATCCACAAAAGTGAAAAAATGGCTTAGTCTCCTACAAACGGACGAACTCCAGCATGAAAGGGGAATATGGAGACAACAATGCGGCAAGTCGTATGGCTATCTCGATATGCGCTCAATTCTACCAAGATGCCGGACACGATACCAACGCCACGGAGGTCCTACATCCACATGATACACCGCTACATGTACACCTATTCCTGTACACCACAGAAATGACGTGACGCACTGGGCTCTGGGCGCCACCCCTTTGGACGTGCACGCTTGGCTCATCAAGCTGCGTCCCCACTCGGAAACTGCTTCCGACAACGCAACACTGCTGGAAGGATGGATCTGCACCGATCGGCCGCTGCAATGCGTGTCCGATTGGCTCGCACCAGCAATAGAGATAGAGGGCCTGCGAGCACCGATGGCAATCTGTGGGACTGGCGATGGCTGTGACTCGTAGCGAGTCTTCGCCAATGGATCCACTGGCCGGGTGGAGCCTCCAAGGCTGCGCGGGATCGTGGCTTGCGGAACGCGCAAATGGCAAGAGGCGCCAGCACTGGTGGTGGTGCAATGCAGCAACGGTCTCATGGGACTGGTGACGGGCTTTTGGGGCCCAAATGATGTACCGCTACCGGGTTACTCACAGTGGCAGACAGGGCAGCGAACGTGGGCACCCAGTGAGACGCTGCAGGACTGAGATTGTGCGTCTCAAACATCTTCCTAGACGGGAAGACTTCGCCATTGTCGGCCAAGCTTTCCGTCAAAGGTGATCAACTGGAACTGAACCAAGAAAGGTAGTGATGTGTGCTACAACAATCTACGGCATCTTCAAGGCAATCTGCGCAATTGATGATTTTGTTACCAAGTTTCAAGCAAGATGACGGTCAGTCTGTGTGATTGCATTGTACGACATTTGGGACATTTGTGGAAATTGCTTCCAGCCTATGCTGAATACGTTGGCGAATCTGAGATTTGAAGTCCTGCTGTAATTGATTGACGTATTCTCAAGCTGCTTGCGGGAATAATTTTGACTTCTCAGTGAATGTTGTGCGCCAAAGCGTCAAAGTGACGGGAATTTTCTGGCTGATAGATGCACGATTTATTCGCAGCAGGCTAGGGCAAGATGTGATGTCATTTCTTTTCAATTCTTCTGCCTCAGGCAGATGTGTTTTACGTGGTTCTGTGACGTTGACAGCCCAATAGGGATGCGACCTGCCACGCATGGAAACATCAGGAATCTGGTTGCGAATTCGGTCATGAAAATTATTGACTTGTTGCTGATGCGTTGGGTGAGTGTATCAGTCCTTTAATTCGATCAAGAAGTATCACTGGGATGATTTGTGGCGTGGCTGTGACGTCATAGCATTGTTTGTGAGCCGTACATTGTAATGCGGGAAAAGGGCAGACGGAGCCATAGGTGTGAATGAATATTCCTGTGAATCTTTCAGGTCGTGGCACAGATTCGATTGTGGTGCTGCACGTGTGCTGGAAAGGTGACGAAGGAGTCAAATGATGTCCACCTCAGCGTTGCAAAGGGGATATGTGAGGATTAGAAGAGCATGCTGCGAGGTTTGCAGAAGCACGCCCAGATGTGATACGAATAGTAGAGTATGAGGCGCAAGGAGAGTGTAAATGATGCGAACTGCCATGTTGGCTGTGACCTGATAGAAATTGTACAAGATTGGGTTGTACTTCCCATTCTGAAATGGCTAGGGTATTTGGGGAGTGGCTGCCGCGCTGTGTGCGGGTCGCAGGCCGCATGCTGCTGTGCCCAGTGTCTGAGGGGCTGAACGGGCGGACCATAGTACGTAAAGTTGTAAACATCCTGTTGACAGTCTCGACGTGTGCGAGCCGGCACGCAGGCCGCGGCATGCAGCCCGACCAGAATGGCTTTGCGGCCAAGCGTTTGAAGTCTCCTGCGCTCGGATATCGACAGGTCGCGCCCATTGCATTTTCGCAGTTCGAGTGCATGAGTTTCCAAGCGATTCTGTGAGAATCGAAGCGGCGTCCCGCGCGTTTCTCACCCAAGGGGTGGGTTTCTGCTCGAGCCAGGGGGTGCAAGGCCCGGAGGCCCTTTTGAATCGGGTTTTCCATGGCAGAATCGCTGGCGACGTGTTCGCAGGGGAGCTGTACGTACCAATGTACCAAATTCGTCTCGTTCGATGCAAATCCTACCGAGCTGGAAGGCGGGACAGGCGAAGGCTTGGCGCTTTGTGGATTTTCGCCCGTGTGGCTGCCATGTCAGACGGCCAGCTTTTTCAGTAGCTTATTGTGCCTATTACGCCTATCCCTGTTATTCGTAAATATTGCAACTAGAGGTGGTCGCTGAGGTCAAATATTATCAACGTTGCAATGTAAATAACGGTAACGTCTATGCCACGTTCATTAACAAAACGCTGGATGATTGTGCCTCTGTGGGTATTGCTAAAACACTGGACCGTCGGCACGCTTGCCGTACGGCATGTCCGGGATTCATTCATCCTTGTTGTTGGCGACGGCGCTGATGGGCGCAGCGAGGCGTGGGGAGCGCAGAACGTAGAGAAGAGCATGCTCCAATGTGGACCTTGGTGCACCGCTTGTCAAGGGCTAGCGAAGTGCTGCGGTTACTTCGAAATAGGGCGGAGGGAGAGGATTTTCTGTCGAAAGGCAATGCTCTCCATGCTGAGTCAGGCAGGTTGCTAGCGCCCAGCGCACCGAATGGAGCTTGACCAGACTAGTGTGTGCCACCTTCGAATTTGGCAGCACAAGTGTGAAGTCAGGCGCTGGATCATTAGCCTGGCAGTATGGCGCAAACGGAACAATGTGTTGCGGATGATCAACATGTACCATATCCGGAACAATCGGCCAAGCACTTGAAACGAGTCGCTAGTTCCAGAAAGGGTGCCTGTAGTGAGCAGGCCTATCGTGGCGGGCACTTTTGCACCCGTCGAACGTGCCATAGGTTTCGAAGGCGGCGATCCATCTGTTGGAGCCTGCTATATGCACTGCGCGATGCCTGCAGTGGAGCAGGCCACCTTTGGACAACGGTGCTCAAGTAGTCTAAATGCACACCATCGCCGATGACCTATTGCACGGGATCGCCCGAGTATGCCGCTGGGGCAGTTTTGGAGAAGACATAGTCATATGCATTCATTTTCCATAGCACAAGAGCAAGTAGAGAGTGCATAGACTTTACAAATTCATATGCATATACCAAGGTTGGGGCATCTTTTGCCCAACTGAGTACTCTTCCGTCCAGGATCACCTTTTGGCGCACGTCTTCTCTTCATGTACCCACCCTATGCTGCATTTCGAGGGAAGTCAAGTCCATTTTCTTACGTCCACCCAAGATGTTGCAAACCTTGGAAGCATTATTCTAAATGGCGGACCAGTTTTTGCATGTGATCGTCGACGCAGATTTCTGTTGTGAAGTTTCTCCTCGGGGCTGCACGGTCAATTCTCGGCGGGCCCCTTGCCAGTTTCATTTATCCGTGCTACGCGTCGGGGACCTCAGGGACGTGGTCCAAACCTGGCCATGTGCACCACCTTCACATCTTCTAATGGTCTCCTTTGTCACCGTGATTCGCGAATCCGCGGCAACCCCTGATGCCTCAGGCATCTGGATGGTGCTGTGAACGCTTCGCTGAACCTCGCAGCTCATTGTTTGGCTTGGCGCCCTCAATCCCATCACCCCACATGGTCAGCACATGGCCAACAACTTCCACCGAAGAGTGAACAGGCATGATCTTCAGTAGCCCGTCCCACATTGCCCCCATGGCGCTGGCCCCATATCCTTGGCGGACTGCGGGGACGCCCGTATGGGCGACGCCCCCCGGCGCCCATACGGTTCGGTTTCCGAAAATATGCACTGGACATATGTGGAGGTCCGGCTCCAGCGCCGGATGGTTCCGCGCTTGGTCCTTAAGGCTCACTCAGATCCCGTCCCAGCAAAGGCAGGCGTCCCGTCCCCCGCCACACCGATCGGCCCCACCGCCAACCTGTAATGCGGTGGCCCATTGCCACGCCCCAATTCGTCGCACCCTGCCCCGCAATCTGCAGCCCCCCCCCTCCCCAGCTCCAGTCGTGACAGGCCGCCGGTCGCCGCCGACCCTGCCAGCGGGATCCGCTCGGCGGCAGAGAAGAAGGGAGGACGGGTTGACTTGTTCGCGGCCCCTTGGCGGCGGCCGTGACCCCGCGCATCATCTCCAGGGACATCCGTGGGGCCGCGGCGCCGGCGGCCCGGCGGGATGGCGTCCAGCAGCGGGGAGGTGAGGGCGGGACAGCCGGGAGTGGCTGGCGCCGGAGGGGGCGGGGGGCAGATTTGTTCGAGGAGGGGTGCCTTTGGGACGGGGGAATGGAGCGGACGGGGCGGAAAATGAGCCGCGGGAGTGGGCGAGCGATCAATCGAGGCTAGTCTCTCTTAGTTTATTGAAGTCGGCGCGGCACAAGGGGGTTCGTTGTCTGTGGGCGTGACGCCGTTGCGGCGCCTTCGCCTTGTTGGAATCGAGCGGACGGAAAGCATGAGCCGGGGGAACAGCTCAACAGCCAATCGAGGCGGATCTCGTTTTTGATCGAAGGCGGGCTGGCGCAAGAGTGGTCCCTGTCGGCACGCGAGACTCCGTTGCGGCGTCGTCGCTCCAAACCCCAAAACCACCCCTGGCGGGGGGCTGGGGGTCCGGGTAGGCGCCCTGTCAGCTGACCTTTTCCGGCCTTGGCTAAAGTACTGGGGGAGGGCGGGGTGACCCCGCCCAGCGCCCCGCGCCCGGCTCAGTAACCCCCGCACGTGACGGCCGGCCGCGTCGAGAGGGAGGCGCCGCGGGGGCGATGGCCGTGGGGCAGGGGTTGGTGGGCGATCTTGCGGCGTGGGCTTGGGGTGTTTGGGGCGGGTCAGGCGGCACGGCCAGGTCGCGACTCGCTGACTCCCGGCTTGGTTGTGATGATCGACGAGGCATCCGTAAACGCCTCCATTCGTCCAACTGGTACGTGCACGTATGGAAGGCAGATGCTGCTGCTGCCGTACGTTCGCGTCCGATCGAGCGGTCCATTTTGGCCACGGACGGCGCAGCAACATGGACGAGAGGGATAGGGAGTCCATAATGTGCAGCGCTGTGCACGATGGCTCGTGGGCTGCGTGATTGATCGGATCTCGCTGTTTTGAAGTACGGTTGGTTTCGAACCATATCCAGGGCTCGATCAACGTATTTTTGCAGAAGCCAAACAGGAGCCCGCATCCCCTCTGCCAAAAATCTACGCCATGTTGAGAGTTGGATGAGTCCCTGTGGTTTGAAATGGATTTGATCTGGACTTGTCGTGCGCGGAGATCGTGTCCTGGACATTCTGTGCGTAGCCATATGCCCAGCATCGCCGTTGTCGGTGCAAGTGCATGCATTGCGTCACGTGACACAGATGTGTTCAATGTGCACTGCGGTCGTGCCCAGTCCAGGCAACATTGCCAGCCGTGCCACTCGCACCTGTTGCAGCAGGGATACTCTCTCTCTGCAGTTGCACATGATGAGACTCTGCCCAATCACCTGAAGCACTGTGTGGATCTATCCGTTCCCCCTCTGCCATTCGAGATTCAATTTTTCCGATCGAAATCATTGCGCACTTTTCTGTCAGACAGAAGTTGAGTCCATTTGGTTGGAGTCAATCTTTGCATCTGTGTTGCTTTCATGCCAGAATGCCACCCAGCAGATGCCGACGGCACACATTGCCTTTTGGCAAAAGAAGAAATCTGGCATGCAACACTCCTCCCACTCCAAGGAAGATGTCCATGAGACTCTGCTCCCTATTTAACAAGATAATGCAGAGGTCCCCTGGTCGAACAGTCGTTGCATGCTTTAAAGATGTGACTCCCAAATCGCCCAACTCCCTTGAACACAGCAACAATAAATGGCCAACAAGGACATGTGATGATTTCAGGTTCAAGTCAGCACGACCGGTGTTCCGTAACTGGCATTGGTACCTGTAGGCATTATGATGCATTTGAATCCTGGGAAGTAGGTAGCCAATGACAGCATCTCCTGTTGTCAAGAATGTGTTGAAACATGTCTTTGTGCACAGGGAGTCACAACAGATGAGCCATTTTCCCGAAGGCTGTTGCTAACAGTTCAGGATGTGGTGGGGAAGCGGGTGGAGGGGCCCCCCTTTTGGAGTCCGCAGATCAGCAAGGGGTTTGTTGAAGGTGCGTTGTTTGTTTGTTTCTTGGCTCGATTTGCTTAAATTGTACAGGGCGGCGGTGAGCCCCTACAGTTGGCTAATCTAGGTGTGGTTGTGGCCGAAACTATGAGAGAAAGCTCACCAGCCCCAGATCTATCACTGTTGGGTAGTGTTGCCAGCTATGCATGGAATCTGCACTGTTTGCAATGAACTGCCGCAAAACTTTTGGTATATGTGCACAAAGAAAAAAGCAGAAGTGATATGTGCACGAAAGAAGCAGAAGCAGGCAGGAAAGAATGCAGATCAATTTCCCAGCATCGAAAGGGGTTTGAGTATATGAGGAGTGCCATTGTGATGAGGCACTGTTGAGAAAAATGTGTTGTAGCCATGAATAAGACAACACATAGCAGTTGCCGATATCAGTATCCACACATATCTGCAGCTGATGCAGTGTTTTAACACAGTGGACAGTGTTTTAACACAGTGGACAACTGTGTCAACATGGACTTGGGGATAAGATCCCAGGCACTGCCCATGGTGTGCTAATTCACTGGGCAGCTGTACATCATTTTCTGGCAACGATGGAATCCACCAATTGCTCTGGCCATTACTCCTCACAACATCACAAACTCTGGAGTCATACCACCCTCCAAGACACAACTTACCCACACAACCACCATCCAAATATGTCCTGTCCATTTATGGTGGCTATTAGCACCATGAACCTCGATATTGCGGAGAGATGGTGGGTTGTGTGGATTCAGTATTCTACCTATAGAGATGGGGCTGCTTTCCCTTTGTCTCCATTGCAAATATTTGCCTAACAATCGGCTCTGTCCACTGCTGGCAACTTAATTTTCTGAAATCTATGATGCTGGGGTTGGGCAGCGGTTTCGATATGGGCTTTCTGTCTAAGAGTTCTCCGGAACAACAACTTGGTGACTGGGTACACTCCGACAGTTGTTTGAAGTAGGAGGAATTGCGTCATGTATATTTCTGGAATAGGCTTTCAGAGTTGCATGGAATGCCACATGCACTGGCATCACCTTAATCAAGTTCAAATTCTTAACCACTACTTGCCCTTGCTGAGTGGCAGAAATGTTGAAAATCCATGTTCAGGATCAAGCAAAGGAATGGAATGTCATATCAGATTTCTGATACACCGGACCAAGAGCAGATTCAGAACAGCCTGTGTGGCTGGGAACACCACTTTCTGGTTTCACAAATCTATTTTGGTTTTCAATCTTTTCTGTTGATATGAGAACAACATTGTGCATGTTGTTTGGCAGTTGTGATGCTGCCATTCCATGTAGAAATAACAGTGAATATTAAATCAATCCTTTGTTTGTGCAGTGAGATTTGGCAAGTCGAGGACAAAGAAGGTGGGCATCCTCCAGGAGACCTGATGTTGTGCATCAAGAAGCAGAGAATTGGTCACAGTGCATTCATTCTTTTGTTTCTTACGAGTTGTGAATAGTTTGCAGGAATCGAGCTGCCATTGCTACTGGAGAACATACAAAACTGGTTTAGTGAAGCATTCAAATGCCACAATTCTATCCACAATATTGTAGTCGTGTTTCACATCCCAAAATATCCAGTTGCAGAACTCACATGGCAAGCTGCTCATTGAAACTGGGGTCAATGTCCTCCATTTCTTTGGCTACTGTGGACACCTGCACAGGCATGAATAGCATGGCTGGGAAAGCGATGGGCATCCAATGTTGGGCATTATTCGCAAACCAAGCTACTGAAGGACCACAGTTTCAGCAAACAGGTGACGCTGTCGATGTGAGTCCAGGTGATGTGCATCACCAGTCTGCAAATTTGTGTGGGCTGCTGTGCAGGTGTCCACAGCAACTAAAGACGTGGAGGACTTTGAGCTCAGCTTCAATGAGCAGCTTGCCATGTGAGTTGCTGATCCCCAGCAGCATTGTAGCATACTGAAGCCAGCATGAAAGTGATGTACCAAAGTCATGCGGAAAGCAACATTCGATGCCATGGAAGCTACAGGGAAACTGTTCTGGAAACCAGTGTTGTAGTTGACTGCAGTGTCGTCTAAAGCTCTGGAATGGCTGAGGACAACATAGTATTGAATTGGATTGCAGAAGTGGTGGCCCGCAAACGAGCTGTCCTCAATCTGTCATTTGTGTGACCACTTGCATTTTGTGTTGCTTATCATTTGGCGACTCGTGTCCCACCTTCCTTTGCAGTTCCCTCTTGCTATGCAGGACTTTGCAGAAGAGATGAAAATTATTGGGAAACAGAGCCATGAGCCTTCCAATTGCATTCACGCCGCTGAGTTTTCAACCTGTGACTGGTTTCTGTTGATTAGAATAGGCCTGTATCCTCACAGCAGATTTAACCCGCTTCAAAGTGTATGGTACAGTACCATGGGCAAGGCATGAACAACAAATGCATTCGGTGCTTTTGGTACCATGTGAACATTGGCATTGTGAGGACTGACGGTTCAAGGTACCACCAACATGGATGCTCTGTCATGTACACATCATGCTGATGGGCTGTGTGCAGTAACGGAATACTTGCTGGGGTGAATGATTATCTCGTCAGATAGGGCAGGTCAGCATCAAGGTGATCTGTACCCTGTGCTCATATATTCCATGGTTATTCACATGCAGAGGTTGTTATGAATGGGGAAGGTGCTGCAGTTCTGTTGGGCCCATTTTCCATCTTACAAATTATGTACTGCGTCTCAAGGCCCGGCTAGGCAATCAATGCCAGGTGCTGATTCACGTGTTTGTGAATAAAACAGGGACATGGACCACAGTTGCCAGGAGCTGGTTGTCAGTGTGTGTGCAGGCGAAGTTGGCAAACCAGGGCCCGTACTGGCTCGTTGTGGTGCGTGCACTTTTATGCGGTAGAAACCTGACAGGCGCAGTGCAGGGCGATATCCATTTGGTAACAGATGTCGGCAAAGCAGATGTTTGTGTCATAGCAATGAGTTAAAGAGTAGCGGTGTTGCTTAGTGGAGTGTAATTTCAGCACCTGATACAAGACAGGTACTCCAAAACCTGACATTGACTGAAAGAGTGGCAAAGCCACTTTGTAGGGCTCACCCATGATCTTGATGGTGCAGATTGGCTCCGATACACTTTCTTTGTGTTCCAACTGTCACTGCTTAACTTTCTTCTGGTATTTGAAGACTTGCATTGAATGAGGGAGAAGACAGTTGCTGAAAACTGCAGACTTATCAGGCTGCATAGTTGTCTGGGTTAGCTGGTGGTGTACGCTGACTAGTACGCCAATGACTCTCGGCCCATGCACTTCTCAGCAAGGTGCACACAGCACTGGCTTGATGTCTTAATTGGATGTGCTGCATTTGTGCACAGTTCAGCTGCTGAACATCTGTGCACCTTTGCACTCTCAGATTCATACCAGAATTTGAGGTCACTGTGTCAGAGTCTTGGGTGGCCAGGTGCATTGTTCCCCTGAAAAGACTGTGCGCTGGGGTTGTTCAAGCTTGTGCAATTGCCAACAAGTCTGCACGCTGGGGCCTCTACCATGTAGGAGAGCAAAGCCCCAAATATGGCATGGACAGCAGTTTTGAAGGCTCTTTCAGTGCGTGTACTGTGTGTTGCCTGGATCCAGACTAACACGTCAGGATGCTTTCCTGACCCTCCCATTTTAGCCTGTGAAGTAACTCAAATTTTTGTGCACAGCACTCCCAGGTTTAGGCTTGCATTGGCATGTTGTCAGGGATATATGTGGACCAGATTGTGGGCACAGAACCTGTCAACAAGTACTTCAACCTGTACAAGATGGCCCCTGATGGAACATATGAGAGGGGTGGTTTTATCCGCGTTACTGTCTGTTGGGAGCCTGAGGAAGAAGATGAAGAAGAAGGTGGGGACTGTTGCAAGATACTTGATGCTTCGAAAGTGATTTTGCAAGCATGTTTGCTGATCATCTCCCCCCTTGTGGTGTTGATCTTTGTGTGTTCTGTGTGCAACACAACAATTCTTGGTTGCTGCAGTCAATAGGCATGGCGATGCCCCTGTTGGGCGATGTCGAGTGCTCGACACAGGAACAGAGCGTCTGCTCAACAAACTGAGCTAGATATGAGCAGAGACAGCAAGTGGTGAACTGTTGGCCTTGTCCGAACCCATACAAGAGCATGGGCATCCAATTGTTGGAAGGAGTATGACCGAGAGGAAGAGCTCCGTTTCTGTGGGCAAATTGAGCAGCCAAAATATATGTGCTTGTCCCTGACCATCTGGCCTTGCGAAACGGCAGAGGGTCCCATATCGATAGTGCACAGCACTGATTATCTTCAACCGCAAACCGAGTTGAATCATCAGATATTTCAAAAGAAGTTTGGTGGTTGGGATACGTGGTTCATATGGGGCAAATGGCAGCAGTGTTTAAAAGGCTTCTGCTGATCAAAAGGTAACACAGTGTTCAAACTCTGTTGGGACCCATGACTTGCAGTTTGTTTCGTTCCATCCACACTTTGAGGAATATATGTCCGGTCGGTACTGCTGGTGGCACTTTGAGTCCAGATGGCAGATTGCTCAGATTCGCCATCTTTACATGATGATATGAGAGTCAAGGCGATTGCCTTGTTGTACAGGAAGGGAACATGTCACACAATGGGGGTCACCTTTGTGAACATGAATTTTTGCATCATGCTCTTGAATGTTGCCAAACCCTCTAGATGAGATCACGTTCAGTCAATAAGTCTGTTGCTGTGTTCTCTTCCCAGTCTCGATGGAAGGCACTGACTTTACAGATTTGGATGTTCCTGTGAGTGCGCCTGAACTTGATCGGGCCTCCATGGTGGTCATGGACGACGGCGACTCGAGGTCGAGCCTGTCTGCAGATGATGTGACGCCATCCTGGCTGAACATTCCTGTTGTCTACAAAGGACCCATGCCCATGTCAGCTGCAGGCAGCAGCGGGGATCTCCAGTGGGGTCAATGGGCAGTGGCAGGTGCGACTGGTGTTTCCTCAGTTGAAAGCAGCAGCTGGAAACTTAGATGCACGCCAGAAAGTCTGTACAATTTTGGGAATTTGAACAAAATATTTTGCACACCAAACTATTGTCGTCGCTGAATATGGCAATTGTGTACCCATGCTCACTGCAGACACATAGACTGGTCCTTGTGGGCACTGGTATTGGCAGGCAGTTGGCCCTGGACAACTCATGTCGTCTTGGCACAGCTGGTGCTGTGCAAACGCCTGGTCAAACGCGGATGGTTTCTTGTTTTCCACGTTGGGTTGAAACAAACCTGGTAGCTTGTTTCCACCGATGACAGGTGCTTGTTGCATGTGCGGTTGAGCTGTTCCACAAAAGGAATTTTAAAAGGAATTTTGGACACTGACATTAGAAGGATGTGTTCAAAGGTTGCCCATGGTGAACGTTGCTCTGGAGTATGTACCAAAGTCTTTTAAAGTGCCGGTGCTCAGTACAAGATCTGTTGTGCCATAGATCACGGAGGACAGCATCCATATCCCCCCGCTCCACATCAGGGCTGACGTCAGGAATGCGGGGGCCCCTATCTTGCATGCCCCCGCACTATCTTCTGTGCCCCCTGCGTTCAACATCAGGCTGCTGACCCAGTAGTGCACCCCCCACATTATTACGCTGGCCCACGTACGTCCGCAGTATACTGGTATACCAGCGTGTACCCAGTATACTAGCAGCAAACCATACCAGCGCCCCACCAACTCGGCGGCATTCACGGCCATTCACGGCAGCAACGAAAACCAGTGCCAAAAAAAAAGATGGGACACCACAGGTCACTGCATTATGCCGCGCCACCCGCGTTGCCAGGTTAATTGGTGCCAGGCCAATGTAGCATATTACATGCCATTACATAAGGCGCCAATCACAGTGCCAACCAATAATAGCTGTTGGGATGCTGCACTGCACTGGAGACAGCTTGGAAATCCCGATGACCTTGGTTTGAGTGATGGTAGTATGGAATTGGACACTGAGAATCTTGAGGACATGGTGTTTGACTGAAGGAGGAATGTCATGGCAATGTTTAGTTGGAGTGGGATTGATACCATTTGGGAGATAGCACGTGCAATGAGATGTTAAAATGTGTGAAAATGCTTTTGTGTTGTGGTTGTACATGATGTTGAAGTGAACTGTGCCCCCCCGCGCTATCTTGCATACCCCCCGCGCACTGCAACACTGGCCATGTTTGATAACGCCGGGGGCGGTATCTAAAGGCCACGCACTATGCAACAACCCCCGCACTATCTTCCGTGATCTACGGTACTGCATTTGAAACAACTTTAGTCGCACAAGAGACACAGCTGTCACATCAAGTGTAGCTACTGAACGGAGGTACATGGGCAGTGTATGACAGAACATTTTACAATGACCTTGCGAAAAATTGTTCCTAGAAACTGGAGACCCCCAGCTGGATTTCTTTTGTCCTTGTGCACCAGGCTCAGATGAGAATGCCAGCTCACGGGGAGAGCTGTCGAGCAGCCTTGCCTGCACCCCTCCAGCTGCCAGAACGCCCTCTGGATATATGTTCGACGATGACGAGGTAGGCAGCGAGGTTGACGGGCAGGGGGGCGGACAGTCATCTGGCGGAGGGACGTCTCGAGCAGAGAGAGGCGATTTGGGTTCCATCGACTCCCCACAGGCACTCTCTCGTGACATGCGCCTGGAGATTCTGTCGCCACCCTTTTCGTCTGACTCTGGCATGCCAAGGCTGAACTTGACAGTGATGCCGCGCGAGCACCTGGGGGGGCAAGCGAGTGCCAGCAGGGGCACTGGAAGCGCTCGCGGTGACAAGGTGGGGCAGTTTCTGGATTGTATAAAGTATTGTAAGCCTGTTTCTCTGAATTTTGCATTTAGCTATCGGGGAATCTGCCCATTGGTTTGCGTTTCAAATTGTGTCATCAATCGCCCCAACGGAACTGAGGATGAGAGTTAAGCCTTTACCCTGGTATGATCTGGCTCCAGTGCCATTCCTGACAGGAAGTTACAATCCTCATCAGTTCAAGGCCAGTAGCCAGTAGCATGAGCGTATGCGATATTAAATGTTCATGCATTCAGTAGCTGGCATTATGCGCGGCTGTGCAGGCGTCTCCAGCATCTGAACTGGCGGAAGACCTGTCAACGATGTCTCTGCAGCAGCGCCATCCGGCTGTTGAGCAGTCTCCAGAGGGCGTCCATCCCTTGCACCAGGGATCTGATGCTTGCGCAAGCGACTGTGGGGGCTCAGATGCCCCAACAGAATACTCCGTCGTCGGTCGGTGAGTGCTGCTCACTGAACAAAGTCTTGTTGCTCCGGTTTTGTGCGGCGTGTGGGGACTTGAGTGCCACCGTCATGTTGTCCTTGCTGTTGATTGACTGACTAGAGTTCCCCTTTCTACATGAGAGGAAAGAGAAATGAAGTCCCAGCGGACCAACCGATGTGAAGCAGGCCCCTTTCCACCAGGCCCTTCGTTAGAGATAGCGACATAGTGCGCCTTGATCAAGACCAGTCGAATGCACGTGGCTCGCGTGCAAGCATAAGTGCAAGACTGCATCAGCAATTCTGTGCCTACGATCTAACGAGTTGGCGGGAGGCACGGTCATTGCCACTTACCTGTTAAATATAGTTTTATGTAGTCTAACGTTGTTGCAATTTTCCTGCCTGTGAAATCAGCACAAGTCCTGCCATGCCATGTTGCCCCTCTTCTATCCTGTCTGTGACCACATGTTGTCCCAGGTTGTGAATATGCCCAAGAGCCCTTGGTTAGAAGGTACCAATGGAATCGACAGCCGAACAGCGAAACAACTGTCATGTCGGCCGCAAGCCCCCCCCCCCTTTTCTGGCAGTTGCCTAAAATGTTTGTTTGTCGAATATTCGACAATGTAGCCGCACTTCACGTTGAGATACCATATTCTGGGTCACAAAATCGGAACGTCGAATTGTCTTCAAGACAGTACCTGTGTGGGAGGCGGACCTCACATTCTGCTGGGGTTCATCCAACAACAGTCGACGATAACGTGATGTTTGTCGCCCAGATGTCGCGGGGGTGTGTCCCCCTGGTTGCTCTTCACGCTTACGGCTGTGGGGGGCGCCGCTGCCGTAGCGCTGAAAGTGCTCGGCCCAGGAGGCAGCAGGTGTCGGGCCAGCAATGCCTCCAGTCCCCGTGCTAGCACACAACCGGCAAGTGAAGATCGGGACGAGGGTACTGTAGACTCTGACAGCTGACAGGAGGTCACTGACGAACTGCCGTGGTTGACGTGGAAAGTTCACGGCACTGCCTCAGAAAGCTGTGCGAGAACCAGGCCGCCCTTCATGAGGCGAATGCAGGCGTTTCTGAGTGACGCACTAAATTTGCCTGGTGTGGGCTGTGTTTGGACTCCGAACTTCGGAGCCCCCAGCGTTCCTGATAGGCATGAGAGAATAACCTATTGACCGGCGACCTGCCTTTGTTCGTGGCTGGGGCCTTGACCTGGAGCACTGCCGTCGTTCCTTTGGGATTGCCGGCCAACTTGCTTCTTTTCCTTGTGTCCTTCCCACTGACTGCGTGTGCGCGGTGGAGGTATCGTTGGCGTGAGGTTGGGGCAGCGTGAGCGCAGCATGGTCGGGGTGGTGTGCCCTCCCTGTGTCGTGCACGAGTGACGAGTGTGAGTATAGACAGGATGCGAACCGCGTCGCTGTTGCAACGCCATTGACACGTAGGCTGCAGTGTCCACATGCATTTTTTGTTCTGTTGTGGCTGCATTGATTTCCCCGGTCTCCCCCAAACCATTGCTCCACACGGGGTCGATGCCTCTGGGCCTTGTCTTTGGGGCGGTGCTGCAATGTGCCATCGCAAGCGTCTGCGTGGACGACATGCAGCAACCATGCCGAACGCCTTGCATCCGGCAAGGCGATGTTCTTACATGATTCAGACGAACGACGGCTCTCGAGCCAATCTTAACCTATTTAGCAAATACGTCCAATGCACTCAGTCAAGTGCAGCCATGTTTCGTTTCAACTGCCTAAGCTTGACCCAACACACAAACACGAAAACAATGGAGCTGCTTTTGTGCTGTTCAACAGGAGCCTGCTTTCTGACTGCCGGGTACCTAAACCTGTGGGTAGCAGCTGCAGCTTCTGCCATGCGCCATGCCCATGCCCACAGTAGACCCCGTTGAATCACCTGCACAACGTTAGGCTGAGGCTGCTGCTGCGGTGATTGACGGTAGATACCCTCAGCCGTTGGTGCTCAAACTGCCTGGTTGCCCCTTGCAAAGGCACCTCCAAACTGCATCGCGCAGCCCCCAATCGACGCCTTTTCAGAGCTCTGTTTCAACGCTTTTCCGCTTCCCCTGCAATGCAAGCGTAGCTCTCCACCTGCCCGCACGAGGACCGTCACAACTTCGCAAGTCACCAGGGGTGCCTAACCTATGTCATGTCTACGAGGATTGCTCCACCCAGATGCCCTCCAAAACTCTGTGCAACGCAGGCCATCCCGCAGCGCGCCTCAATCTGCCTTCGCCTTCTTTGCGCTGGCCCCGCCCTCAGGCGTCTCCTCCTTT